TCATTCCTTTCAGAAAGTGTACACAAGCAAGCATGTCTTGACTCTGTCTTTCAAGGTCACGCGCGGTTGCGTGATGTTGATGCATGAAAACGGCGTTTGCCGCGAGAGTTATGAATGGCCCACTCCAATTTTTGCACAGATGGTTAGGAACATTGTGACGGACATAATATGTAAAATTACCCGAATCGAAGGTGACGTGTTTTTTGCTATTTAAATTTTTCTTTTTTAATTCAAGGTCAAATGCATTTCAAGGTCACTTCAATTTAATTTTATAATTAAAAATCAAAGCCTTATCAATTGCCTACAAGACCCTGTTAATATCATTTTGATACCAGAAAAGGAACCAGAGTTATAGACATTTGAAAAATTGGTGTGTGGCATTTTTGGCTATATTCGATGACCTATATCTCAGCGATACTTTATCAAATTTCGAAAATATTATACGTAACTCAGTTTTGAACCATGCCCAGTCTGCCTACAAATTTTCAGAAAATCGAAGGGGATGACGGATTTCGGTGTTTGATTTGACGTGGAATGCCCCTGCTGCTGCTGCCGCCGCTGCTGCTGCTGCTGCTGCTGCCGCTGCTGCTGCTGCTGCTGCTGGCCGGCTGCCGCTGCTGCTGCTGCGCTGCTGCTGCTGCTGCTGCTGCTGCTGCTGCTGCTGCTGCTGCTGCTGCGTCTGCTGCTGCTGCTGCCGGTGCTTGGTCCGTCCGCTGCTGCGGCTGCGATGGCGATGTTGTGCCTTTTGTGTGTGTTTTTTTTTACAATCTTTAGCTGCGTTGGCTCGTGCGAGATTGGCCGTTCTTTGTGTGTGGGGTTGAGAGGGTGAGGCGCAGCCTGTGGCGACGCGACGGGTGTGGTGGATGTGGAGAAGTTGATGACTTGACGTCAGCTGTGTCCGATGTGTTTGTGATTTGTGTTGTGGGTTAAATAAATTAAAAAAAAAACAATTTTAATGTGTGATCTTCTTCGTACATTGTTTTGTCATTTTAACCCTCGCCCTGGCAGGGCATTTTTTATAACACGGCCTGGCAGGGGGGGGGGGTCGATGCGACCCCCCCCCCTCGCGATTGGCTCCTATGGCACCTAGAAACACCAAATTTGGTAGGTAGGTGGGCCCCCTGGAGTTCTCGCCCCTGTGCAAATTTGGTTGCTCTAGGTCAATATTTAGGGGGGTTTTGGGGGGTATAAATATAAAAAATTTCGCTAAAAACAGGTCAAAAGTTTTTTTCGCTTGTAACTTTTGATCTAATTAAGATAGAGCAAAAATAAAAGCACCAGTGAGCTCAGCACGTCAAGGCGCGTCGAATGATATACTTTTTAGCTTGCTGAAGTGTACTTAAAGTTTTTCTTAAATTTTAAGTAAACTTAAATTTATAAATTAAGTTCAAGTTAACCAAATTGCATCATATCGCATATCATTCGATTCGGCTGATCACCAGGAACACAATGATGCCATTTGTTAAGTTCTAGCGTCATTGTGTGCCAGTATCGTTGTAGTAACGTGTCAAATTGATGTATGATAAGGTACTGAAAGTTTGACGTCGCTGGCGTAACGCGTTTAGAAGTTATTGGCGAAAAACGGGAGGGGGGGCAGATTCTGCCCCCCCCCCCCCAGCGGGGCGCGGGTTAACTAAGATGAAGAAAATCGGGCGAAATTCGGAGAAGAAGGAATAAGCCTACCAAATATGTGTGACATATTGTCAAACTGCTGTACCATTGTGAGTAAATGACCATATAAGAGGTCGTACAAGCCGATGGGACCGGGCGTTTCAATACACACCGTCTTACGCATTTTATTTTCGTTATTACCTAAAGGCTGCTTGACGTTTTTGGCTTTCAAGCATTTAAGACATTTTTTGTCGTCTCAGGTCCAGTAAGATTACCTCCAACTCGTGGGAATATGCATTTCAAGCCAACTAACACACCACACCCACGTGTGCCATAATGCTGAGAGATGGCGTTCACTCGGCTTGCTCCTAACTTACGATAATTCTCTCGCTAGATGGCAGGCCTGATCCCAATGTCGCGGATCCCAATGTTAATTTCCACGAGACACCAATCCAGTGTTATATCATCCAAGATACCTATAAGAAACAGGTAGATCCGATGTTTGAAAGTAAAGCCCCAGTCACAAATTTGACGCACCTGTGACATTTCCTGACACCCACGTGACTATTGTATTAACTTTTGTGTTTTGCGATGTTTTGACCTTATTTAAAGTACTGAAAGCTCAAAATGTATGATTAATGTTGTTTAAAGCAGATATTAATAATTATGTTTGTAAATTATCGATAAGCTGCTTATAGCAGGTCACGTGATTGCTACCAGATTATGTGCTCAGAAAGCATCTTTTCAACTTCGATTTTGAACAATTTTTACCTCCTTTGAGGCCGAATGATGGACGGTTTGAGGCACACGATGAAATGCTGAATCTATTGATGCCAAAATTTGTTCGTTTTTTGCATTTTTAGACTAGTATATCCTGGCTCAAACTTTGACCAATTTGTGTGTAAACCCTATGGTGAAGGGAAAACTTCACGCCCAGCAGGCGTCATTACAGTGCTGCCAAATCGTGTTTGGTGGGGGTCGATATCATCCATGCCGATACCAAACCAAATACCAACCAAAACCGTGGAGAAATACCGAAACCAAACCAACTTGGGAACATGAGGAAAATACCAACTTTTTACCGATTTCTTAGCCTCTTTAAACATTAGCGAGGGTTCATGATACCAACAAAATACCAAACTCATTAGTATTTAAATACCAAATACCGAGTTGGTATCGGTTTGGTATCGGTATACCAAAAAGTTGGTATCCGATTGACATCTCTAATCTAAATGCACCTAAGCTGAAAATATCATACTTACTTCCTTCAACTGTGACCTGCAACAGTCCCTTTGGAGTTTTCTTTATCTCGTAACCTGTAAATGTATCATAGTCATACAAAATAAATAATAACAATCACAACGAAAAGCAAAATATCAACAATAAAAATAAAGAATATCATAGAGTTAACCCGGCACCGCCTTGGCTATTTCCGTACCCACGACAGCCTGGGGAGGGGTCGGATCCGACCCCCCCCCCCCAGGCGGTCGCGGGTTAAAACATGTTATTGGGAAATACAATCATTATAATAGGTATATTAATTATTAACATGACGTAAGGTTGTATAAATACCGTCTTATTCATGACCAAAGTTGACTTTAGTTATGACCATAGCTATGATATAGTGGTGTATGCCATAACTATCAGTCATGATCATCATCAACATTATCATTATCATTAGCTGCACACCTATTCTTACCTCGCGCTGGTTTCTCCGGGGCTTCAGACTTTGACGGCCCTGCAAGAACAAACCTTGGCTGAGCTTCGAAACTTTCAGGCAGCGTGTATGCAGCACTCGAGAACCCCAGCTGCTTTATTCTTCTCATTTGTCTCTCTTTTTATCTAATATAAAAACTGTGTATTCAACATGGCAGTTTGCTTATGTCTTGTACTGAAGCTTCTAGTTATGCTATAATAATAAATGTGTTTTTTTTTTTACCTTCGCTCTCCTAAATTGTTGCTCTCAGACATATTAATGTTAGAAAGAATGCAAACACAAATGAAAAAATCTGCAAATTTGGTTATTAAATAGACCGAATTCATTCAATGGAAAAAGATATTCCAGTGAATTTACCAATCTTGAAAGCAAGTGAACAATAGTGAAACCAATGTGCAAGCTGGAACTGGAAACAAATAAAGAAAAAGGAAAAGGAAATGCAAAAAAAACAGTCACTTGAAAAAAATTGCAGTCTTTGAACAATACGGAGGAGAACAAACACATGCCGGTGCGGCCGAGTCCAACCGGTGGCCGGGCTGGCAGGCACTCACGTTTCTTGCGCGGAGCCTGGACGATGACGACCTCAACACTGTCACCAGTGACGTCAGAGGGAGACGCCTTCAGCTTCTCCACGGGAAGCTTGCCCGTGGACGGGTAGAAGTATTGCCTGTCATAAATAAATTTAACACCGTTATTCATTACTGATTAATAATATTTGATCCAAAAGCAGAAACAGGACTTATGAAGCACTTGCAGCAGAGCAAATCTCCCGCAATATTTGTTTATATGCATCGTTCAATGCTAATTTTCATTTGTACAATGAGAAACATACATATGGTACGTCTCGGTAACCCAAGGCGTCAGGCATCTCATAGCTACCAGTTACCACTGTCGAAAGGGTCTTGATTTTGTACCCTGTTTACCTTGATGATACCCTTGATTACGAGCGAGCGAGCGCAGCGAAGTCTTTTCAATATAACGGGAAAATCTCAGTATGAGCGGCCCGGCCGGGCCCGGCCCGGCCTGTAACGCTTTTGAGCGGCTTATATCTCAGCAACCGCTGGACCGATTGACCTGCGGTCTTTTTTGTCGGGTAGCCTCATCCCTTCTACCCCGTAATTGACTACTTCTGATACATCTCAGTGACCGTCGTGGCACGTGCCACGTGAATAGTCAAGGGTGTTCAAGCTGTTTTGCAAAGGTAGTGATTTTGAGAGGCTCATATCTCAGCAGCCGCTTGAGCGATTGTCTTGCGGTAGTTTTTGTAGGGTAGCTGCATCCCTTCTACCAAGGTCGGATACTCTTGATCTATGTGAGTGACCCCTACTGCACGTGCAAAATGCAAAAAGAAGAGGTGCTAAATTTGCTCCCATTTCAATAACTCGGTAATTACTGGGGCCATTTCGCTGAAACTTGGCATACAGGTAGGCACCCACCAGGCAATGCATTCCCATGTGTTGCGGCTAGGGCGGTACTGCACGTGCGCACGTGCAGGGGGCGCTTCCAGATCTCGAGAACGGCTGGGCCGATTGCGCTCAAATTTGGTACACGGTTGGGGACCGATTAGAAGGGTGCCGTGCAAAGGTCAGTTTGGACCCCGTTTGCACGTGCGCACGTGCAGATTGCCGCTTCCAGATCTCAGGAACGGCTGGGCCAAATGCGTTCAAATTTGGCACACCGCTAGCGACCGGTTAGAAGGGTGCTTTGCACAGGCCCGTTGGAAGTACCCTCTCACCCTTCCGCACGTGCAGGGCGGCTCACTATCTCGTTCGCTCGTTCTTCGCCCAAAAGGCGTTTTACTGGTTGAAAAAGTCCATAAAGTGACCATCCCACCTTAACCCTCGCCCGTATTGGTGTTTTTCCAGCCGCGAACGTATAAGGGGGGGGGGGGGGTCCGTTGGACCCCCCTTGCCGTTTCGCCCCTGATCGAGCTAGAGCCTCGCGGAAAAAAAACGAGCGTGTTGCCCGTGACGAGAGGAAGCCGATGATACCCAATTTTAAGGTCGGTTGACCTTCCAGGTCAGGTCAATGACCCAAAAGTCGGGAAAATCGGGACCTGTTAGAAAGTCGTAAAGCGTGGCTTCTATGGGGTTTTTCAGGGTGCTGATCACGAATATCATGTTAGTTTTGATCACAGATGATGTCTTCATGCATTTAGGCCAGGTCGGGTCAGTTCAGGTCAGGTCGACCAGTAAGGGTATTCGTAGTGTGGCAACCGCCTCTGACAGCTTCCAAAAACTGGCCTAGAAAAATGTAAAACTCGAAAAAGTGAACCGAGGTCATTAAAGGTCAATGACCTGACCTGACCTTCAGGTGACCTTGAAACCCACCCTAATGCATGGAGCAACATCAAATCACATGTTTGAACGTTTGAAACCACGAAAAGCTTGCAAACGCGCGGCTAATGCGAGCCGACATACGCCGAATCGCGATTTCGGCCAAACATGGTCTCGAAAAGTAGGTCACAGGTCAAAGGTCATTAGGGTCAGGGTCATGAAAATTTCAGGGTAGGTGTAAAATTGATTAACCCGCGCCCCACTGGGGGGCTATTTATAGCCCCCCTCCCGTTTTTTTCCGCAATAACTTCCAAACCGCTTGACGGATCGACGCCAAACTTTCAGTACCTTTAGCTGCATTAATTTGACACCTTGTGTCAAAATTTGAACTTCGTAGCTACCATAGGTCGGCCGGAAATGACGTCAGAGTGACGTCATGTTCGTCCGAATTCGACGCAAAACATTGAACCACGGCAATCGCTCCCAAGAGCTCAGTTTTTAAGCTAGATCCAATTTTTTTGCATGAAAGGACTCAGAATTGATTGCGCTATCAAACTGCTATCTCGGATTTTCAAAATTTAGAAAATTTAGAAAATTTTATATAATAATATTCAAAATTTATATTTTATATTTTTTTCAAAAAGTTTTTAACTTTTCGAAAAAAAAAACCGGAATATATGTGACAGAACGCATGATTATGACTAACTCTAGCAAGTTTTAGCTAAATATCTTCAAAAATGGCCAAGTTATACGCATTATTGCAAAAAATTCACAATTATTAATTTTTCAAATCAATTTTTCAGTACGTATTTGACATCGTAAACCAATATAAATGGCACCATCGTGTTCCTGAGCTCAAACTGCATCCAATAGACACCTTTTTTGTTGAGAAATTTTAACTTCAAAATTTGACCTTTTTTGACCTGAAAGTGCCCTGACCTAAGCTAACTTCGACTCAAAATGACCTCAAATGACACAGACGACATCAAATTCGAAATCTATGGCCTGAATGGACCATAAAACATGTGTCACGTGACCGACGCATGATATAATATTTCCGTGACCTGTGATGACCTGACCCTGACCTGAAAATCAAAGTACAAGTTTGGTACCCTCAAGGTATCTAGAGCATCTGTTCACGAGTGTGGAAACCAAAAATGAGCATGATCTGACTTGTAAGACGGCGGCCAGAGCCCAAAATGTGAAAAAGCCAAAATGCTAATAATTTTTACTTTGACCTGACCTGTGACGTCATCGGTGACCTCGAGGTCAATGAAATTAGGTTTCGCTCGACAGTTTTTCCGGGGCTATCAGACGCCGTTTGAATTTTGACGATCGGCCCAGTAGTTTCGGAGTTAGGAGGGGGGGGGCTATGAATAGCCCCCCCCCCCCCAGTAGGGCGTGTTATACACAGACCCCAGTGGGGCGCGGGTTAACCCGCGCACCGACGGGGGTCTGCGCCAACTTCGCACCGACGGGGGGCGGATGACCGCCCCCCCTGAGATCTCGAGAACGAAGCAAGATAGCGACAAGCGGTAAACGGCATCGGATACGCACGGCCAAGATCTACACTTTTACAAAGGTCATTTTCAGGTCAGGTCAAAGATGACGTCACAGGGGTCGAAAAAGTCAAAATGGCGGCGCTAGATATGGAGAGAGTTTTTTTCTCGAATAACTTTCGAATTAGTCAAGATAGGGACAAACTAAGGGCATCATCGTGATCCTCTCGTCAATCCGCATCGAATGATATATATGTTGACCTCGAAAGGTCAAGGTCAAAGGTTGACCTCAGGTCACGTGACCTCGAGGTCATCATGTATATCATTCGATGCGTCTGACGAGCTGAACACAATGAGACCATCCGCGCGGCTGTA